AAACATATTTCAATTTGTTTCTCCAATGGGGTGAGCTAAATCACTTCTTGAGAGAACTTTGCCTTAGGTTACCTGTGCTGTTTCTGTCCTTTTTTTTTTTTTCAAATTTGTTGTGTATCATTTTTTTTTCAGCTAGGAGGCTAATTTAATCCTGAATATTTTAATGTGGCAGTGAGCACAAATGTGTAACCAGAGGCCCCTCAAGTGGACTAATCCTACCCTTCGGTAAATGTGCTCAAACTTGTTTCTGCTTTGTGAGACATGGTGTTTTGCTTTCCTATTCTTTGATGTCACATTGAACACCCAAGAGTATACGGTTAGCCCCAACCATCTGGCTCTTACTGCCTAACAAACAAACCCCACCTTGTCTTTGATTCTCTTTTAAGGTCAGACATACAGAAGTACAGCCTGCTTGAGTATGGTTGGTAGGGTAATAATATATGTGTAATATTTTTTTACGCTTTTAATTTGAACATTTCACCTAAAATGTTATATGATGTGCTTGAGTGTGATATTGTTATGCTACAGAATTACATGATTATGATTGTGTAATAAAAGATTTTGAAATAAAAAAGGAGCATTATTTGTGCCAGACCCTGTATTTTTAAAATTTTATATACATTGTAATTAATATTCCATGTAGACTTTGTCCCAATAATGTAAATTGCAATAATAAGATATACTCTACAAGCTTATGTAAAGTCATTACTTATATTTATCATCTTATGTTGCATTAGCTCATGTTATAAAATGTATTCAATAACTTCAAAGACAAGGTTATAGGAACCTATTTTTCTTATGTGTATGTGTGTACAGTAACAATAATTTACATGGTTAAATTTCAAATACAGTATATCTAGATGTGATTTCCAGTGCTAAAATCACAGTTACTTAACAGAAAATTTATTATTAGATTTATGTTATTTAGATTAATTTTTAATAATGTCATATAGCCTAGGTATCAGAAGATCTTGCCAGTACTTAAGAAAAACAAAATTTCATCAATATCTAGACCCTAATTTTGTTTTCCCATCTTTTCTTATTGGATCAAATACCGTTCTCTAAAAATGTGTGTATTTATCTCTACACATTTGAACATAAACAAGTATTTGTTGCAAAGCCCAGAGGGGTCTGACCTACAGCCATAAATCCATCTGCTCTGACTTTAGTCATTGCCCTTTAAGTCACTTCATCATTGCTGTGCTCTATGTGTTTGGACAGGTCTCTAGTCCATGAGTTGTGTCATAGCACCACTGTTCTTGATGGACACGTCAGTCCTTCACTGCAAGAACATGTGAATATTTCAAGGGGTAAAGCTCTGTTTATTTGCTCCAGTAATAATATTACAACTCATGATGTTTGAGGCTTCCCAAGGATCATGGAATGGGAATACTTCTTTCCCTATTCATTATTAAAAGGGGAAGACTCCTTTCCCAAGATTAAGTTCACCCAGGATGGTTGTGTGGGTGATTAAGGTAGTATTTTAATAGTAAAGCTGGGCACTGAAATGTTGAATTTATTGAACTAGTTACTTCAGTACACACATACAGACACACAACTGTCTTTGATAGTGTGAACATTATGGTTCATTTGGTTTTATTTTATTTTTTTTATTAATTAATTTTTAGAGGTGGGGGAAGGGAAGAAGAAAGAGAGGGAGAGAAACATCAATGTATAGTGGCCTCTCAGGCACTCCCTACTGGGGACTTGCCTGAGGCCCCAGCCCAGCAGCCCAAGCATGTGCTGTGACTGAGAATCAAACTTCCAACCCTTTGGTTCTCAGGCCTGCACTCAATCCACTGTGCCACACCAGCCAGGGCAATTCTAGCTCATTTCAGTAGATCGGCTGCTCTGTGGTACACAAGATCATGACTTCACTTCAGCTTCCGTGACTTATTGTGTCTACTCAGCATTCCTTGAAGATAAATTGGTTTTTCAGGGACTGTGTCCTAACAGTTTGACTATTTGCTTTCAGAACTATTTCTCACTCTACTTTTACTCTGCTCTGTAATGGGACAGAGAGAGGGGCAGGCTGATACATGAAAGATTAGGTTTCTCGAGTACGTTTTTGACCTGGCTTCCAGCTGGATTCATCCAATGAAAGGCATTGACAAGAGAATGAATGCACATCAAGCAAATTTATTGTTCGTTTTCATCTATTACTTCTTTTTATTACCATTTTATTACCAAAATGCACAGTCTTGGGGAGCTACCCTAAATGGTTCAATAACTGGTCCTTTTGTTTGATTATTTGTTCATTTTCACATTTTTAAAATTTCATTAGAGGTCATACTCTCTTGTGTACTTCAGGTATCATGGAAAGGAAAATTATTCTCATTTTCCTCAGAGTCCAGCTACCTGTTGTGTATTCCATTAACAGGCTTAACCTCTTTAAAACAAAGAAACTAACAATGCACATGAAGTTTATGTACCCATGGCTCTCAGAGCATTCTGCTTGCAAATACTACAAATCCCTTCACATTTAGAGTCTGGCTCTTCTATTTGGAGCTTCTGGCAAAGGTTATTATCATCAAGGTGTGCTGTGGCATACTTGTCACTTTCTATTCCAAATTGGGAGGGGAAAGAGGTTCCCTCTGTATAACAAAAGTACAGCTTTGTTGTGTGACTTCCGGATGGAGAGGAGCCAGCAAACACAATCAGGTAGTGTTTCCAACGTTCACAGTGAGCACCAGAGCATTTCTTTCCAGGAACAGCTCCGAATGCCACTAAACTGCTTACAGGCTTTTATCCTTGCTTAATAATAATACACAAAGTGTCAGTGTTGCAATAGTGACTATTGTGTAGAACAGGAAAGCTGAATACATCTTATTAAGATTGTTTTCCTGCAGATCTGTCCTTTGGGGGAGAGATAAGTGTAGAGAAAATATGACCACGTTAAAAGGCAAATTTTAAATTGATTATTATAAGGTCATGACGTTTCTTTTTTAATAAAAATAAAAACCTGTAGGACAATGCTTGGCTTTTAATTCCACCTCAGTGGAAATCTGATCACATACAAACTTGGTTTGTTGATTGAGTTGTTTCATTAACAGTATGAAGTGAGACAAGTGAAACACTTGGGGAAACAGTGAGATTTAGAAGCAAAGTGTAAATTCAAAGAGATGATTTGAAGGTTATATGGTAAAAGTTCAGTTTCTCCAGCTAATTAGGGCTGTTGGGACTATTACAATGTTCAGCTTCTAGGTCAATTAAATTTATTGGTTTATTTTTTAACCAAATGAAACACTAAAAGTTAATAAAAATTTTAAATACAATTCTTTTCCCCTGGAAATCTTTCACCATTTATTATTCCCTTTTGTCTTTTTATTTAAATTTTGCATACAGAAAAGCAGATGGTTAAAAATTAAAGTAACTTTAAATATTGTATGTGCATATTTAAATAAACATTTTAAGAAGTTTATTTAATAAATTTTGATGTATCACTTAAATGCTAACTGTACTTTATGATTAATATCTAATTAAAATGCCTGCCATAAATTCTTTGACAGTCAAGAGGTCTTCATTAAACAACAATAGGTTCTAAGAGAACTAAGCCCACAATTGTCTTACCTCAAAAATTTATACCCAGAATAGATACTGTAGCAGAATTACTTCACTGATGATGATTATTGAAAATTATTTTGCTTCCACTACATGCGCCAATATTATTTTTATGGACATTGTACATTACCAATTTCCCAGTCTCTCTATTTCTTTTATCTAACACTGTCATTGTATCAGGGAAGAGATGTGCAGAAAAAGACATAAAAAATCATAAACATGCAAGTTAACAAATTATGTTAAAGCAAATGCCTATGTAAAACCTCCTGGTTTAAAATACAAATTTGTCAGAATTCCCGATTTTGCCCACAGTTCTGGGGATCTCAGCACCATCCCCACCTGATGGAAGAAGTCATAACTTGCCTTTTTGGTCCTCATTTTTTTTAAGCATCTAAATATATATTCTTACACAGTGCAGCTTGGTTTCCCATATTTGAAACTTCATAAAATGTAATCATATGGTGTGTAGTTTCTGTGTGTCTGTCTTCCATTCCACAACACTTATTCAAGTGTTTTGCACTTATTTTCTATTGGGTTGACTATCTACAGACACACAATGACCTGTGGATGCTTTATTAATTCCATATATAGGTTCACTGACTATTATATATATAATATATATTTGCTTACTCTTTAATTTGTGTTTTTACTTTATATTTTGATATGCAGAAATTTGTATTGTATATCAATCATTTCTTGATAGTGAATTTTATGTTTTATTTAAATGTTCACTTTTAAATGTATAAGGTATGCATTACATATGATAAATTATATATGATTGTAAAATATATAGTCAGTCTGAACTTTTAAAAAATATGTTCTGAGAAACATGTTTAAATGATTTTATTGCTTTTAAAAAGATAATCAATAGTCCTAGTATTATTTATTGGAAATATTATTCATATTTATTACTTCATGGTTCTACAATTTAAATAAATTTTGTGTGCACTTATATTTAGGTCTGAATAGGGATATTCCATTCATTCTGTCACTCTTTCTTGCTTGATACCTAGAAAAAAATCTTCCATTTTATATTTCCTTATAAATATTTAAAAAAATTTATCAGTTCCAAAATATATGGTTACCTGAGATTTATTTCAATCTCTAAACTTATTTAGGAAAAATTAAAACCTTTACAACATTCAGTTGTCAAATCCATGAATTATAATATCTCACTACACTGAAATTGTATTTAATGTCTTTCAATAAAGTCTTATGTTTATCTGCAAACTATACCCTATCATGTATTACAAAGTATATAGAAATTTCACTGTCTTTATAATTTTGTAAATGAAATGTTGGAAGTTTGTTTTCCCCTAATTATTTGTTGAAAATGTAAAAATATAATTAATTTTTGTATGTTGATTTTATACTTGCAATTCTAATTGAACTTTCTTATCAGGCTATCTAGTTTTTATGTGTAGATCTTCTTTTTTCTTTTTTATTTTTTCAGTCATGAGATGGAAAAGAGTTCAAGGGTACTTTCTTCAAGGCAGTACAGGGATTCTGGAGAATGTCATCATTTGACAGATCATAAATTTGCTATGTGTTAAGTCCCATCATCAGAGAATAAGCATAATTTCTTCATGATATTTTGAAATAAATAACATTTCTCCTTGTTTACTGCAAATCCAAAACCTCTAGTATAATGTCGAATTCTGAATTAAGATAATTTTTACATTCAATTTGCTTAATTTAACAATTGAAACATATGTCGCGCCATATGTTTCTTGCAGGTTTTTGCAAGTTACATACTAAAAGTTTAAGGATGTTACTTTATATTCATTTGTAAGTCATACTAGATGGTCAATTTGTCTGCTACTTGTTTTGTGCATCTATTGTAGTGACTAAATAATGTTCCTTCTTAATTTTGCTAGACTAAGTTGGAGTTCTGAAAGTACTCGGTCAGTTTACATTTCTTTTTTTATATATCAGGGGCTCATTTTGCTAATAACCTGTTTGTAAGTTGTACATTTATGTTCATAGAGAGGATTTTATTCCCTTTATCTTTAATTTTCTTGTTAGATTTTGTTATATTAATGATAGTATCTTAAAATAATTCAGGGGATATTACCACTTGTTTCCTTAGAAGAGTTTGTATAATAATTGAAGTTATTTATTTTTAGATGAAAAAAAAGAATTAACAAGCCCAGCTGTGAGTTCTGAATTCTTTCATGTGGAAAATATTATAACTGTGGATTCAGTTCCTTTGGCTGTTACAAATATATTTAAGTCATTTGTTGCTCTTGTATCAATTTAATATGTATTAGGGAGTTTTTCTTTCATTTTTAAATACAACATTGTGGCACAAAGTTTTTAAATTTTATCATTTTGTTATCTATTTGAAATGTATATGTGCCACATTTATCATTTCTGATATTTCACTATTTGAATTGTTTATTTTGTTGTTCTTTATCAATCTTTTAAGAGGTTCATCAAGTTTGTAGGTTTTTTCTAAAATACCATATTTAAATGATAGACTTAGATAAACTCTATTGATCCTTTATAAATTGTTTCTACTTACCTACTTACTTTTTTTGAAATATTTTAGTTTTAAAACTTTGAACTATTGCTTATTTCATAGGTATTCACCATTTCCTTTTTTCTTAATAGTTGCATTTTAGTCTCTAATTTTTTTAAATACTAATTTAATGTCACCCTAATTTTTATACACACTATGTGTATCATAACTCAAACACTAATATTTGTGATATGCACTATTTTATTTACATATAAATTGAATTTAAACCTACTCCTTAATTTTGAACTATATATTAATATATTTATTAATTTTCACATATAACTTTATAGTCCTATCACTAGTTCATACTAATTCCTAATTTCTCCATTCCATTCTTTGTGTCATTCATTATTTTGTTATTAAAAGGTAATTTTACTATACCACAATGAAGCAGGATTTATCCCAGGTACATGAAGCTGGTACAACATTTGAAATTCAATTAATGTAAACAATCATATCAACAGAATTTTTAAAAAATCACATAATAATAGTAGTACAGAAAATGTATCTGATGAAATACAGCACCTATCATGATGAAAACTACCTCTCAGCAAAATAGAAATAGAGGCCAGTGTTCTCAACTTGTTAAAGATTAGCAACAAGAAATCCTACAGTCAACATCATACTTCCTGGTGAGACATTGTTAGCTTTCCCAGTAAGATTAGGAGCAAGGCAAGTGTGCCCCCCACCACTCCATTTCAACATCAAACTAGAAGTCCTTGTTAACGTAATAAGGCAATGAAATTAAATAAAATGTGTACAGATTGTAAAGAATAACAATAAAGTCCATCGAGTCTCAGATATTTTGAAATTTCAAAAGCTTTCTATGTTAATATATTTTGTGACATTAGTAATCTTTTTGCATAACTAGTACTAAACATAAGTGAATTCAAATTAATTGCATTGTGTAGGGTGTTGGGAACCGCCCTGACTGGTATCAGAGGCTGAAACCCCCGCCTAGCTAAGGCTAAGGGAACGCCCTTGGAACCGTAAGCCAGCAAGGAGATAAAAGCTTATCTTCCTGGCAGGAATGCTGCTTCTGCTGCTTTATTCATGACTGAACCCCAAAAAGGCTTGGTCGGTTAGCCAAAGACGGGTAAGATTCCCCACGGGGGAACGACCTAAGCCAGGCACGATCACTTTTGGGAGGCCCCCCCAAAAGAAGGACTTGGGGGGCTGCAGCAAAAGGGGGGTGATGGACCCTCGCTCCTCGGCTTTGACATAGCCTGAGTTCTCATCGTCTGGGAGAAAATCTCCTTATCTCTTGGTTACCTAGTTCCCTTGCTCCACCTAAGCCTAAAAACAATGACAGGGTGGTGCAGCTCGGTACTGAGAAGTGCGGATTCCCTGGGTGATCAGGCCTAAGAAAGAATATGTAAATTACTGTGAAGCCTTCTTTGTTTAGAATGCTCTCAGTTGAATGAGAAGGGTCTTAGGAGGAAGTTATTTTGTTCCTCAGTCTTACAGCTCTTTGACCCCAACTCAATAGACCGGCAGAGTTCTTTGCTTTCTATAGTTTCTTACTTCCCCTAATGAGTACTGTACTTTACCTGAATTATTATGCAAAATGAGCCTAATAAAAGCAGGTATGGACGGTAAATCAGCGTGCTCCCCACTAGGGGGGGTGGCCATTTCGTCCCTACTTCCCCACAGAAACTAGTTTGTCTCTGTGCATGTGTTTTCTCTCGCGTGTTTTTCGTCGAGCCATCCACAGCGTTCCGTGGTCACTGCTGGCCGGTGACCCACGCGCAACAGTAGGGCTTTAGACTGCTTACATGATGTAACTTAGTACAAGGGTGTTGTTAAAAATATTTAATAAGCAACATGACATGGGATCTTTTATTAATTCAGAAGAGATATAGAGAATATTAATTCACATTAACAAATACACAATTGAAGAAATTTGTTAAAAGTAAAATTGCCTTCCTTTTTTGTCCATACCTCAGAAAAATAAAGCTAAGTGAAGCCTGAAAATAAGATTATCTCTATCAAAACTATGAGTTTCATTGTTTGACGTTTATAAAGTATTTTAACATAAATTATTTAAAGTGATTGCCACAACTTTTTCTATTTTCTTCATTGTAACCATACCCTTCTCTTGCCAGATTACCTCAAATAATTAAGATTTAGAGAAACTACTATAACTTTGTTCGCTCATAATTTCAAATTATTTTCAGCTGGTAAAATTAAAATAAACTTATTTTTATAAAACCATTGTGATATATACATATTCTTTATATATGTAACATGTATATGTCTTTGAATTGAGGTAGATGGACTATTTATCTAATGGGCTTAACCAAATTGCCAAGTCAAATTTAGGGAAAAAAAAACTAAAAATGCACTTCTAAATCATTGTGTTTTTGCTCAACTAAGATTACCTGCATAACAATTTTGCTTTCTAATTTACAAATATTTTTAGTCTTTAAGTTTCTGTCTGGACCAGTGCATAAGACAGACTTAACGTAACTGCCAGTGACCATATTCATAATGCCTCTACAGATCGACTCCCACATTCCATGTTTTTTCGCCTGTTTCAGTGGTATTCAATGGACAAGTTGCATTAAACTCAAGGGCATCAATTTTCATCATAATTTGCATAAATGATTTAATCAAAAATAAAATCAACTTTGAAATCCATTTACATCTTCATGATAAATTAAAAAAAATTATATTGAAGATAGTCTAACGATTAAAACTGGCATTTGGTCAGCATTATTTTTTCACTTTGTTTTCCCAGAGGATAATTATCATCACTAAGGAAAAGGGACAGTAGGTTAAGTCCTACAAATAGTCATTAAAATACTTAAAACCTGATAATTAAACATTGCTAATAAGTAGCACAGAAATTGCAAGTTGTTTTTAACTTTACTATAAATATAATGACTACATTTTATTCAAAGATAGCTTAACACTCTATTTTGAGGGTATATATTATAGCATTTTAGAATATACAAGGAAGAAAAATTTTAAAGACTATTGCTATTAGTGTCCTGAAGATAAAATATATCTGTAGTAATTAATAATGCCTGCAGTTTATAAAATAAAATATTAATTCTGTATTTAAATTATCCATTATAAAATACCCATCTCCTATTTACATGCTTAACTCTGATCTTTCTACAGCTTTATGTTTCAAAATAAATAGAATCTACAAAATCTGTACCACTAAAGATAATCTGAACCCTTTCAAAATGTCAAGGAAACATGTTATGCAAAATTTTATACCAAGTTTATGAGACTAATATTCACTTACTATTTGTCACATACAAAATTAGAAAAATTCATAAATGTTGATATTTTGTAAATTCTTTAGGCATGATATTTTACAAAATCATCTTCTTAGAGTGACTTTGGGCTCTTGACATCTCATTCACAAGCTCTGTCATTAAACTAATCATTATTGATTGACAATAAATTATGTTCCTATAGATTACATAAAACATTTTGCTGATTTAAGCAATTTTACTGATAATTTAATAAATATAGAAAGAATTACTTTTCATTATTCATTATGTGGCACAAATCACATTCTTAAGTGTCATTTTTAATAAGGATAATTCTCCTGACCAGATGATGCATGGAAATTGACAGAAGAAATAATATATAGACTAGAGTTATCCTAAAAAGTAAGTTGCAAAAATAAATGACAAATATATGAGCACTAACACATTTCAATCTGTGAATGTAAACATAAAATATTTTGAATCATCATTTTGAGGATTAAAGTCTGTTATACATACAGATTTGAATAATAGTATGTCACTTATTTTAAAAAATCTAGTCAATAATATTTCATAGAATATATTAAATAAGGGTGAAAATTTTTTGTTAAACTATTATAGCTCTCCAAAATCATGACTTAATATGTGCCATTTCATATGACAATAAAACAACCCATGTTGGCACATGCTATAGAAAGAATGGAGTCATTAAAGAACAATGATTAAGAGAAAATTCTCTGGAGCCATGTGGTTTAGATTTTAATCACAGTTCTAAGG